TACTGTCCCGTAGTTCGGAATTCACTGGGGGTTACCCGGATCATTATACACCTGATGAAGGCCGGAGGGCGCAGCGGTAGAAACGTTGTGATAACAATAAAGTGGACGAGAAGTATTGACTCCTTGACAAGTAACCTATTAATCTACGGTTTGACATTTCTTGATGGTGCATCAATAACGAAAATTTTATAACCAACCATATCATCATTGACTACAATTCAAATACACTCTCAATGTCAGATTTCTGTCCTCGGTATGACGATAAGCTACATCCGCGTCCAGGGTAAGACGATAAACTACGTCCAACAGCAAGGCTTCTGATCAGGAGGCTTTGAGGAGCGTGAAACCACCTCTGAATTGCGGGTGTTCCCAAGTCCACCCTGACCCGGGGTGGTATCACCTGTGAGGGTCCCAGCTAATGTCAAATAGTTAACCCCGAAACTGAGGTAAAAAGCATTTTGAAAGTGTGAAAATAGGTTTTAATACCAGAAATATTTTGTAAAAGATTATTACTAGAAATAAATTTTTGACAAAACAAAAATATTACCAGAAAAAATTTTTTCGGCATTAAATGACCCATTGAGGTTGATATGCCGTAAAACAAAAAAAAAAAAAACCTAACCAAACCAAATCAATGTCAGATTTCTCCTTTAGACTGTTTAGTGATTCTATTTCCTCTGGGTCAGATAGTTCTTGTTTCCGAACGAAATATAAAACAAATCGAGAAGCAAGCAACCTGACAACTTCTCTTGAACAGGAACTCCAATTAGTGGTTAACTGGGGCAACTAATGACTTGTAAATTTTAACGCCATCAAAAAACAAAAAAAAAAGCAAAAAAAAAAGCTTTCATTTAATTATGACAGAGAACCTTTTCTGCTTACCATCAGGATGGCTGAGGCTGAACTCTAGGAAAGCAACACTCTACACCTTCTTGGACTCAGGTCTTCTACTGATATAATTGGAGCGACTCTATCGAGTCAACTGTTGCAATAAAGCTTTGTTCACTGAGTCGTGCCATTAGAATTTTTTTCGTCAGAATCCCTCTTACATATTTATAAATCTACCATTCATCTGTGTATTGAATACTGTTGCCATATTTGGTTTGGTGCCTCTACTGAATATCACGAGATTATTGACAAAATCTAGAGAATAATCTGCAATACAATAGATCCTGACCAGGCATCTCGTCTCCAGTCATTTTTCTTTCTGCCTATTCTACAAATATTTTCACCTTCTCTGATGAGCCTTTCTTTTCTTGGTGCCCCGACTACATGAATCTAAGCATGCTACTAGACTAGCAACTAGGTCTCACCATTTTACTGTAGAACTAGCTAGATGCAACTTCTACTCTAAGAGTTTTTTTCTCACACTTCTCACCTGAGGAACTTCCTTCCGATTTCTTGCTTCCCAGTTAACTACAAAGAGTTAAATGCAACATTCAATCGCTATCTTCTGTCTTGTTGAACCCTGTTCTTTTTTTGTCCTTTCCTTAATCCTCCCTATTTTCAATTTTTCACTATCTGTAATCCACCCCTTAGTGGCATTATCGCCTTGCTTGGAGTGACACGATTAAAAAAAAAACGAAGAAAATATCTCATATTGCAAAACACTTTAACGCGTGGATTAATGACGTATTTTCAAATTGATTTGATCAATAAAATTATTTCTCAATCTCAGTTCAACATTTATTTCATTTCCTCTGTAAAGATTCTCCTGCGATGATATAAATTTCTATCACCTTTCCTCCACACCGTAAACAGACTCTTCACATTATTGCAGCTTTAGATCAAAGGACTTTGATATTCATTCAAATATATTAAAGCAAATAAATGTTATGCGATATGAAATTTGATCAAACGAAGCCCCTGTCAGGAGCTTAATCCATTCATTATGTTTCAGATCAAATTTCTAATTTATATGCTTTCATGAAATTTCCTGTAGACAATTCCATCAAATGTAAACAGACTCTTAAAAGCATTTGCTTCTATAATAACGTAACAATAATATGCCAATACGATAACGTTCGTATTCTTTGGGGCTGACTGTGTACATTCCAATGAATCCCAATTACATATATTTCAAAGAGAGCATCAGATTTTATAAGCATTTCCTTTAAATCAATTCGGAACAGATATCAGATGTTCCTTATCGAAGGACGTGTTTTCGTGTTCCTGTCACATCTATCATCGCCGCAGCAATATGCGTCCCCTTGAGGATGATCGTTGACAATATGTGCCTATTTGCGTTGTCGATTCGAAAATGGACACAGATATTAGGTTGCAAAGTTACAATAATAACAGATGCATTCTTCACATTATTGCAGCTTTAGATCATTGCATAAAATCAACAAAAGAGCGGAGCGTATTCCCCCTTCTCGTGTTGCTAACATGGTCTTCTTGAGAGAAACGGCGATCGATGATCGAACAGCTATCAAAGCAGTAGCCGTAATATACAGATACAGTGATGGACAAAAATCATTTGAAAGGGACTGTCGGTTTTGTTCGTTAAATGTATATCTTGATCCAGTAGTATACACAATATTTCATCCCAATAGCAACAAGGAATGTGCATTAAAACTGAATTGAGTTCAAGCGCCCGGCGAGGCT